TTTTTTTTTTAACAAAATGATTAAAAATGAATTGCTTATACACAATATGACTGACAGGGTATCTACAACATTCTCATAGGAAATATTTATTCCTAGTGAAATTTATATGAAGCAGGAAAGAGACATGATGAACTAAAGATTTGGTAGCACATTTTTGTAAAGTTTAGCAAGCATCACAATTTCTAGTAGGACTTGTTAAACGAACTTCCCAGGGCCTGCTCCCGGAGATTCTGACTCTGCAGTTTGAGAGAGGGAGAGGCTTGTGAGTCTGTATTCCTGATAACCTCCAGGGGTGCCTGTGTTATCTGTCATTGGTCACACTTCAAGCAGTATTGGTGGGAAGGACTGGCAGTGGGCAGCCAGGCAGATGTTTTCACATATATCCTTGATTGACAAACGGCAATGAACATTTGAAAATTCAGTCCCATCAGAGAGTCTTGAAGTACATCTTCCAACTATATCTGTATTTTAAAATAAGGAAGAGGTTACTGGAAAATAAAGTGAAAAAATAGTATCTGTATACCATATATCCTGAATTCCATGTTATGCGTGTTTGAAATTTAACTGAGAATTTCTATGCTAATTGGAAAATTTATTAGCAATGAAACAGAAATATTATAGATGAAATAATCATGAGGTTATGAGGGCCAGGGCTGTGCCTATATTTAAATGACTTACATTTGACTATTGCATGACTATTAATTTTTACTAATTAAAACTTGAATTAAAATTTTGAGACTCAAATATTCATGTACGTGAATGTACCATTTTTTTCAATCGTGAGGAATGGCTATTATACACACACATACCATATATATGCATACCACATTTGCTTTATATATAGTACATATGGTGATAAACTACGTATTTATATGTATATATTTGGTTTTTTTTCAAAAAAGTTATTAGAATTATTACTGAGCAGTGGAGACTGGCTAGTGTGTTTGATTTATCAGAATGTATGAAGTAATAAGTGTGTGTGTTACAATGACCTTTATTTTCTCATATGAAAGTCTCATGTCAGAATACAGCATGTAGATGTATTCAATATATTTTAAAGGACTGATTAAATTGGACAAACACTAATGCTGTTAGACTCATTGAGATAAAAAATAATTAACAGCAATCTGTGTGTGCATTTAATACAACGCTCCTTCACAAAATCACTTGTAGAAAAGTGCACAAAACCCAGCCCTGTGCTGCCAGTCAAAAGCAAGTTAATATTAAATTTTGTAAGAAAACAAATTTCATCTAAATAAGTGACTATTAAAAATTATTCCTTATCGAGTGGAAAATAATTTCTTCCCCAAATTCTTTGGCTTTATAATTAAATCATTTATATTGTATCTAATTACAATGATTGGCTGCTTAGCTGAATTTTCTAAGCTGATTACCATGTTTCCCCCAAAATAAGACCTACCCAAAAAATAAGCCCTAGCAGATTTCTATGCATTTGTTAAATATAAGCCCTACCCCAACAATAAGACCTAGTGATGGGCGTGGCCATGCAGATTGATGGGTGTGGCTATGCAGTGTATT